GATTGCCCCATCTTCCTTCCGAGGAGTGGCTGGTGGGTTTGAACCACCAGCCTTCTGGTTAGCAGTCAAGTGCTTTAGCCACTATGCTACCAGAGCTTCTCCAGAGCCATTAGAGAGATGCGAATCAAAACAACGAGATACCATCTTGCCCCAGCACTAGTAGCAAAGTTCAACAACACAGAAAATAACAAATGCTGGTGAGGATGTGGAGAGATTGGGACTCTCACACACTGCTGGGAGCTCTGGTACTGTATTGCTAAGGCACTTGACTCCTAACCAGAAGGCTGGAGGTTCAAACCCACCAGCCACTCCTCAGAAGGAAGGTTGCACAATCTACTTCCGTAGTGATACTGCCTCAGAAACCCAAGGAGTGGTCGCTATGAGTTGGGCCCGACTTGACAGCACATAACAACAACAACAACAACAACAACATACACTGCTGGTGGGGCTGTAAAATGATACAACCACTGTGGAAAGCAGTATGACGATTCCTTCAACAGTTAGAAATAGAAATACGATTTGATTCAGCAATCCTGTTACTAGGAATATATTCTAAAGAAGTGAGAGGCAGGACACATCCTTGTTCATTGCAGCACTATTCATGATACCAAAGCAACAGAAACCACCTAGGTGCCCATCAACAGAAGGATGGATAACCACACTATGGTACAGACACACAATGGAATACTATGCAACCCTAAAGCATAATGTAGAATCTGTGAAACACCACATAATGTGGATAAACTTGGAGGCCATTATGCTGAATGAAATAAGTCAGTCACAGAAGGACAAATATGGTATTAGTTCACTATCATAAATGTCAAGGAAAGGTTTATATATGGAAGGAAAGTTTCTTTTTTGGTTACCAGGGAGGGGAGGGGAGGGGAGGGGAGGAAATGGTGCTAGACAGGTAGAGACAAGTATTAATCTGGGTGAAGGGAAAGGCAGTATACCAAAAGTGAGTGACCAATACAATAACACTAAGGAAAAGGAACATGTTACGGTGCACAAGAGGTACAGAGTACAAAGATAAACCCTTTTACATACACAATACTGTGTTATCAGTGATAACAAACATTAATCTACAGTTAAACAGATGGGTAGACAGGCTGAATGATCAGGTGTGTCTAGGCAAAAGGGAATATACCCATGACCATATAAAATGTTGGTAGACGATATTTCTACATATGTATTTGTATGTGCTGTAAGAATCTCCATATAACTGGGACTAACAGGGCAAAGTTATAACTTCTTAGGCACAGTCAACCACCCTGATGGAGTGAGTCGTTCAACCTGTGGGCTCAGTACTATGGTTGCAGGGGACATCAAGCTCAATTGCCATACCATACTACACAGAAATATTGTTCCAAATCCTACTTCGGGGTCTTAAAAGCTTGCAAGTGGCTATCTAGATACAACAGTGCGTCTCTCTCATCCAGAGCAAAGAAGAATGAAGAAAACCAAAGACACATGGAAATAATTAGACCAAGGAACTAGTGGCCTGTGTGAACTTCACCCTATATGACCATGAGACAAGAAGAACTAGATGGTACCCAGCTATCACTGTCAACTACTCAGAAAGGGATCATTATAGGAGATCCTGGATAGAGTGGGAGAACGATGTGGAACAAAACTCAAATCATAAAAAAGACCAGGCTTATTGGTCTGACAGAGACTGGTGAAACCTCTGAGACTATATGGCCCCTAGTTACTATTCAGGTCTGGTACTGAACTCACCCCTGTGGCTTCTAGCCAAACAATAGACAGGCATATAGGGTGAACATTTACATCAGGTAGATACACTCCTTAGAACAATCAATCATAGGAGAACAGAAGGGCAGTGTTTGCACAGGGAGACAGCTCGGGGAGCAGGAATGCATAGGAAAGAAGGACACAGGGAAGAGGTAACTACAGGTAGGAAGTGGGAAGAGAGCTGTTACATTTTAGGGAATTGCAGTCATTGTCATGAAACAAAATATGTATGAACTGCTGTACGGAAAATGAATTTGCTCTGTAAACATTCACACAAAGTACAATAAAAATTAAAATAAAAAAGCACTTCAAAGCCAAAAAAAAAAATAAAGTGAAAAGACAACCAACAAAATAAGAGAAAATATTTGTAAACCATATACCAGGTAAGGATACAGCATCCAGAGTATGTAGATTCCTGTAACTCGAAAAAAACCCAATTAAAAAATGGACAAAAGATTTAAACAGACATTTCTCCAAATAAGATATATAAATGGCCAATAAGCACATGAAAAGATGCTCAGTGTCATTAGTCAATTGCAAATCAAAACCACAGTGAGGTACTACTTCACCCCCACTGGGAAAAAAAAAAGACAGATAATAGCAAGTGTTGGCAAGTATGTGGAGAAATCACAACCCTCATACATGGCTGGTGGAAACGTAAAATAGGTGTAGCCACTGTGGAAAACTATCTGGTGGTCCCTCAAAGGCCAAACACAGAGTTGCTATGTAACCCAGCAATTCCACTCCTAGGAATTTGTCCCAAAGAACTCAAAGAGCTAACTGAAACTGATACGCGAACGCCAATGTTCATTACCACACTTTTCCCCACAGCCAAACAACAGGAACAACTCAAAAGTCTGTCAACGGATGATGGAGGAGCACAATGGGGTCTATAAGGACAATGGACATTAGCCATGAAGAGAAGTGAAGTTCTGATATGTGCTATGACACACCCAGATGAACCCTGAAGACATCACAGAGTGAGTCAGTCACAAATACCACACATGACATGATCCCACTTGTATGAGATGTCCAGGACAGGTGCATCCACAGACAGATGCAGACAGGGGGTGGCCAGGGCGGGGGCTTCCGTGTGTGGCAATGAGAACATTCTGGAATCAGACAGTGGTGACAGCTGCCAAGGCTGTGAGTGCTCACCCGTGTGAGGGATGTCTCCACTAGAACTTGGTTTAGGCAGCTCGGAGGGCTCCCCATGCCACTCACCCTGCCAGGTGCCACGAGGCCCTCGATGCCAACCAGGTCCCGCTGCAGCTCCCTGAGCTTCTGCAGGTTTTCCAGGTAGATGAGGCTGTGCTGGAGCGTGGACGTCACCTCTGTGGCAGCCGTCAGTGCGTCTGTGGGAGACACCGAGGGTGCATGTTCAGAGGCACGTCCTGTCAACCCCACAGGCTGCTGTTCCAGTCTCAGCTGCCTGTGTGCGCTCTGCGCACAGCCCGTGGAGCCCTGGCCGCTGGCTGTGCGCCTGACAGCCGCTCGGTGAAGAGGGAGGAGGCTTTGGGGCCACAGCCACTCGTTCTTCAGGGAGAGCCATTTCCAGCGTTCCCGAGGCTGCACGGTAAATATTCTCCGGACGGAGGAGCAGATGAAGATGCGCAGATCTGTCACCAGGAAGGAGACTTGCAAGGGTGACGCACACGACCGGACCTGCACACCTCCTGCCTGGCCTGTGCTGGTCACGCCTCTGACTGGCTGCACTGATCCTGTGCTGGCCACGCCCCTGACCTGGCCCGGGAGGTTGGCAGCCATGTCCATGACCTGGTCCGGCAGGTCGTGCAGAGTGGCTGCAGGCTGACCCTGTGCCAGCTGCACTAGCCTTGACCTGGTGCAATCCCTACCTCTCGGTGCAAAGCATTCAACTCAGACAGCAAGTCTGGTCGCAGAGCCCCGTGGCTGCCCAGCTCTGTCCCCTAAGTGGAGGTGAGGCTCTGATCTATAGTCCTAAGATAGGAAAGATCAAAGCCCATGAGGGGATGGCCCCCCAGGGAGTGACTGGCAGGCCTAGGTGCATGAGCATGGCCACCGCAGACCCCCGGCCTCCACCCCGGCTCTCCCTCACCCCGCTCACTGCCCCGCCCCAGCCTGGCCCCCCCTGAAGCCCATCAACCCAGGCTCCTCTTCTAGGGCCCCTGGCTTGTTTCTTGGTGCTGCCTGTCCGGGGGGAAGCTCTGGTGGCGTAGTTCACAAGGCATTTATTTGACTGTTCACCAGAAGGCTGGCAGTTCAAACCCACCAGCCATTCCTCAGAAGGAAGACTGGGGAATCTATTTCTGTAGTGATACTGCCTTGGAAGCCCAAAGAGGGGTCACTGTGATTTGGATTTGATTCGATGGCAATGAGTTTTTTTTGAGCCTGTCCAGGGAGCCAGACTGCCTTGTGGGTTCCACGGTGCACCTGCTGGGAGCCAGACACATGGTCAGATGCATCACCTGATGGTTCCGACCCTCCAAGAGCTGACACTCCTGTCAGCTCAAGAGCACCAGGCACTGCCCATGGGCCCCGTCACTGAGGGGAGGGTATGGTGAAAGCGCAGGCTGTCTTCTCTGAGCAAGCCCAGCCCTGTTGCCGTGGTGTCGACCTGGCTTGGGGCTCCTGCACGTGCCAAGTAGAACTACTCCGAAGGGCCTTAGCTCAGTGCGCTCTTGCTGAAGCTCACTGGGCCTGTGTTCTGAGGCACCCCTGGGGGTCAAACACCAACCTTTCGGGAACAGCCAAGACCTAGCCGTTGGTACCACTGGGGACCCCATCTGCCTTCTCTAAGCCCACTGGAAACTGCACCCTGTCTTCTAGAGGCCGCGTTCTCAGTGAGATGAAGTGGCTGGCGACATGTGCACGCTGAGGGGCCTGCCAAGGGCAGTGTATCACACAATGGTCAATGGTGTGGCAGAGGGGCTTCTCCAGCCAGGTTGAGATGAGGTCTGTTCTAGCCCCTCAGCCCAGACACAGGGTCTGTTCTAGCCCCTCAGCCCAGAGACAGGGTCTGTTCTAGTTCCCCCAGCCCCATGAGACGGGGGTCCGTTCTAGCCCCCCCAGCCCCGTGAGACGGGGGTCCGTTCTAGCCCCCCCAGCCCTGTGAGATGGGTGTCCGTTCGAGCTGCCCCCAGGCCTGTGACATGGGGGTCTGTTCTAGCCGCCCCCCACAGCTCGTGAGACGGGGGTCTGTTCTAGCTGCACTTCCGAGCCCCGTGAGACAGGGGGTCCGTTCTAGCTCCCCCCCAGCCCTGTGAGACAGGGGTCCGTTCTAGCCACCCCCCCCAGCTTGTGAGATGGGGGCCCATTCTAGCGCCTACATAGCCCCATGAGATGGGTTCTCTGGAGGGGAATCTGAGACCAAGTGAAGTGTGCTGACTGGCCTATGGTCACATACCTGTGAACACGGTAGAAGCGTGGCTGCAACTGCCCTCCCACCCCTTATCCAGTCCCTCCCCACTCAGCCATGTGGCCACCTGCAACCTGGGCCTCTCTGTCTCTTACTCCCCCACCCACTGCTGTTTTAGGTCTGAAGACAGTACACTTGAGGTTTCTGTGAGCATGCTAGGAGATGGCCTGGCAGGTCTGTCCTTCCCTGTAGGCAAACACGGGACATGCTGGCTTTAGAGAGAACAGGAAGAGGACTGGCCACATGAGAAGGGAGAAAACACCTTCCTGTGCTTGGGGCTGTGGGAGGAAGAGACCAGCCGTTCGTTGTGTTCCCAACTGTCAGCTTCCTTGAGGAAATCTCTCTGTCGAAAGCAATTTCCCAGGACACACTCCCCAACCCCCGCCTGTCTGTGGGTGGCACTGCAAGGGCTCGAGGTGGCTGTGATGCTGGCAGCTGGGCCAGCCACATTTCACACACCAGCAGGGTCACCCGTGGCGGCCAGAGCTCAGCAGAGCTTCCAGACTCAGACCAGGAAGAGAGGCTGGAGATCTCCATCCAAAAGTCAGTGAAATCCCCGTGGGTGACGGCGGGATACCACCTGATGCAGAGCTGGAAGCTGAGCCCAAGGTGGGAAGGCACTCAGTGCATGGTGGCCGCAGCCGCAGGCCCGAGCACGCCAAGGACCGTGAGCATGGCGCAGGGCGGTGTGTGGTTCTGCTGTGCGTGGGGTCACATGTCGGGGCCCGGCAGTGTTTGGTTCTGCTGCACACGGGGTCGCGTGAGTGGGGGCTGACTCCACGTCAGCTAACCACAGCCACAACCACGTTTACACTGGCATCAGAAGTCACACTTGTGGGCAAAAAGGCTGGAGTGCTTTCCTTGTTCCTTTAACAAAACCAAAGTCTGCCTCTTCCAGAACCGTCTAACAGACCCTCTGGCCATGTGTGTGGGTTTGGAGCCGCCCCTGCAGCAGCCACTCACCTCGGCAGTCAGGGAGGTCGGCGTGGCCAGGTGGCAGCTGTGCACACAGTCGAGCCAGCAGCAGCCGGTAGTGCACCAGCCGCTGGGCGGGCCTGAGCAGGAAGGAGCTGAGTGGCAGGTAGCAGACTTTCTGGAGCTCAAAGTCCTTGCACACAGCCTCCAGCTTCTTGGAGCGCTTGGTGGCCTTGTCCAGCTCAGTCAGCACCTTGCCATGCCTCTGGAAGCAGCTGGTGAAGTCCTGTTGAGGCATAAGGGATCCGGTCAGTGAGCACAGAGGTGGGACCCAGAGGGAGGGCACAGCCCTGGACAGGCCTGTGTGGCCCTTTCAGTCTTGAGCTAGAGACCTGGGAGTGGGCAGGACCGCGGCCCACCACGTGGGCAGACGCTTCTGAGTCTGGGGTGGGGGTCAGAAATCCAAGATGGTGGTGGGGTCAGGGCGGGGGTCTGAGCAGGTGGCAGTACTCTGGGCAATCCTAGGTTCAGGGGGTGGCCTGCTAGGCTGGGCGAGTGGGCACAGTGTCGTGAGTGGGTCACTGTACAGGACATTGCTGTGTGTGTGAACAAGTGTGGTGCATGCATGGAGGGAGCCCGGTCCTGGGCCTGTGAACATACCCGCCCTTCTTGGTGTGGACCCCACAGTAAGATGAAGGACCACTCATGAAACTATGACTTTCACAGGGAACAACCTGACCGCCGTGGCCAGCAGCATATGGGGGCCTTGGGTTGCAGGCATAGGGGCTGGGACAGTGTAGAGCAGTGACCGCTGTGCATCCCGCAGGGTCGCTCCCTAGCCTTTGGCACCCACGTTTGCTCTGATGTGACCCTGACACAGCACCGCCATCACAGGGGAGCTGGGGAAATGCCCTACACTGGTTGACAGGTTATGCCGGGAGGGACACAGACATAGGCTACCTGTAGCTGCCTCATGTTCCTGAGCAGGATGTCCCCAATCCTGAGGTGGGCGCCATGGGTGTGGGCACCAGAGGGCCCCTCCCTGGGTGAAGACAGATAAGGAGGGTCAAGCCTGTGGGAGTGGCTGGCCCGAAGTGCAGGCAGTACTGGGGCCCATGGGGAGGGGGCGCTGGGCCAGGCTGGGTGGTCAGAGGCCGGAGTGCCCGTGGGGGTCCGTGGGGAGGGGAAACTGGACCAGGCTGGGTGGTCAAAGGCCGGAATGCCCGTGGGAGTCTGTAGGGAGAGGGGGCTGGACCAGGCTGGGTGGTCAGAGGCCGGAGTGCCCGTGGGGGTCCATGGGGAGGGGGCGCTGGGCCAGGCTGGGTGGTCAGAGGCTGGAGTGCCCGTGGGGGTCCGTAGGGAGAGGTGGCTGGGCCAGGCTGGGTGGTCAGGCTGGAGTGCCCGTGGGGGGTGAGCCTTCCTGGACCTGGAAGAATCCAGGTAGGTGACAGATGCTGCTCCTCCCACGGACTCTAAGTCCAGCTTCAATTACACAGCTGTTTCTCCAAGTCCCCGAGTTGGCTTTTGACATTGGGGCGTCTGAGAGCCGAGCCAGGGTGGGCTCAGGACTGGGGTGGGGCATGCATGCAGGACTCGGGGTTCAGGACGGGGCATTACCAGGGCGCCAGCCTCTGTTCCAGCTCGTGCAGAAAGCTGCGGTGGAACTCATAGATGGGATCGATGTTGGAGAAGAGCAGGGTCCCGAGGTCCTCAGGCATGGCGTTGTCCTTCACCACCGCGCTGCGGAACCACTGTGGGGAGAGCAGGCTGACGAGGACGGCCCCTGGGCAGACCTGCACGCACACCTCACCCTCCCGGGTACGCAGCCTCAGAGCCCCGGCCCCAGGACCGTGTGCTGCCGCCCGTTGCCCACCCGCTGTGCACACACAACACTCCCGCCCGCCCGGCTGTGCTCTCGTGACAGCAAGGCCCTTCTTCGGGATGGAGCTCCTGCCTTTGGACTCCAGCAGCACTGGGCAAACACAGAGACAGGGACTCAGGCCTCATACCACAGTGAGGACTTCCAAGTCCTTCAGGTAGGTCCGTTCTGTGGCCAGAATCTCCTTCACTACAAAATATGCGCGGTCTGTGGGCGTGTGCTGAAAGAAACAGAGACGCTGGTCATGGGAGCACAGGCTGCAGGCCTCTCCTTGTGGCATTCTGTCTCTGATGACCCAAGAGACTTGTCTAGGCACGCTGTCACAGGAGAGGCTGTGGGTGTCCCCAGAGTCACCTTGCTGCTCTTGTCAGCACGGCCCACCCAGCTGCACTCGGGTCTGTGATGAGATTCCCATTCCACGCAGCAGCCCCTGGAACAGCTGTCAGGACACGTGCAGGGCAGAGGTACCCTATCTAACACACAGGAGTGCACCACGTGTGTCCCAGGGCCCGGGGTGGGCCGTGCATCAGCTCCTCCGTGTCCCTCTCAAGTGTAGCATGCCAGTGGGAATGACACTGGCATCGGAAGGCTGGGAGCATATGTGGGAACCAATACTGCCCAGGGTGTGGGTGCCCCTACAGTTAGGGTGGGTGCCCCGAGAAGCCCCTGACTTCTGTGAACATGGGCTGCTGTCCTTAAACCCCAAAAGGCCCTCAGCTGGCTGCTTCCCACATCGCCCTGTGCAGTGAAACACAGCCCAGGCCGGGAAACCCGGCAGTGACCCTGGCCCAGTGCCTGCTAACCACCGCTGGCTCGCCTCTCCCTAGCAGTCCTTCTGCCTCGCGGGTCCTGCTCCCCTGCTGAGGGCTCCTGCCCAGACCGGGAGCTCCTCCCTACCAAGGGACCCCAGAACCTTTCCAGCGTGGCCACTTTTCTTACTGTGCTTTGTGCCATTAAACGACATTCCAAACTCCCATCAGAAAAACCTCTTTGCAAAGCTCTGTGACTTCCTGGGAGGCTGTGTCTGGGTCCGGGACTCTGGATGGGCTGTTCCCTGCAGGCAGCCAGCCTGGGCTCAGAGGGAAGCTGGCACAGCCCCTGGAGGTCTGTGACTGTGGTCGCGGTCCTGGACCCCCGCCCCCACCTCTGTACGGGATTTTCTTGTTGAGCCCTCTCCCCACGGAGCAAAGCCACCAGACTGCGGGCACAGTGCCAGGCGGTCCCCTAGGGCCGCACTGTGGTAAACACCAAGGCCAAGCCCTGAGGCCCTGTGTCCTGGCTCTGCCCCTGCCCCACCCATCCACAGGCAGGGCTCTGGTCTCAACACCAAGCAGGCTTGGGCTGGACGCAGCTGCTCTGGCCCACACACTGCAAATGCCTCCCCGTTGTGGCCCACAGGGCATAGGAGCGGAGCTGCCACCTCTGCTCTCTTATCTTTCTACTGCTGTCTTATTCAAAAGGGGGAGGGACATTAAGGGAGGGACATGGGGTGGCTGTGGGGCTGCAGGGACAATCCACAGTGGCCCTCAGGGAGACGCAGCTGAAAGCAGAGGCACAGAGTTGTCTGCGGCCACAGCTTCCAGCCCTTCACTTCCAAGTGCGGGTGCCCCATGCAGAAGGCACCTGGCCACCACCGCCCCACAAGGCCCAGGACAAAGGAGGGTTCTCAGGGCCGCCCCTGCCACAGCTGTCTCACCCAGGAGGCTCCCTACCCTGGGCTGGCCTGGCACCTGCCTGCCCCGGGCCCCACGGTGCTGGACAGAGGCTGTGCCTGCACAGGTGCCGACAGGAGCTGGGGGCGCTGGACAGCCGTCACGAGGAGACATAGGGTGGGACGCCGCTGTGGCCCAGCTGTGGGGCTCCATGGCTGCCCAGGAGCGGGCCCGCCCCTGTGGGGACATAGCCTCCAGCTCCTGCCAAGTTCTTGGAGGACCCCAATGGAGCTCTTGGAGGACCTGAGGAGCTTGTATGGGTGGGGACTCCGTGTCTCACAGCGGGTCCATGGGTCCTGGGGTGCACAGAGAGTGCCCTGAAGAGCCCACCACTTCTTGAAGTAAACCAGCAAATGACAGCTAGTTTCCAGATCCTTCTCCTTAGGTGCTTGTCTCAGCACCTAAGCAACTCAAGCTACAGCCACCTGAACAGGCACCAGGCACTCACAAGCTAGTGTCCCCCTGCCAACCAGAGTCCGGGGACCACATGTGGCCTCTCCTAGCCAGCCAGCACCCACCAAGGATGGATGCGGGAGGGAGATTCCTGGGACTAGTGCCCAGACCCCCATTCACCCGGTCTGCACTCAGACCCGTGTCCACCCTGGCCTCCTTGTAGGGGCTATGCTCACAGCCCCACAGCCCCTGGTCGTATGGAGACAAGGCAGTAGCAGCTCTATCCACCCTGTGCAGATCCCAAATGTCCCAGTGGACAGGATGCTGATACAGTGGTACTTCCCACGCGGGCACTTGGCTGAGAACTGCCTGCCGCCTCGGAGACTGGACTCCTGTCCTCTCCCTTTCCACTCCCCCAGCCCACGTGTTCTCCGGCTTGTTGTCTCACTGGTCTCACACCTCCGACCCCGTCCGTATCTGTTGGCAAGCCTCAGCCCCGCTCCCCAAGCACTGCTCAGATCACATGGTGGGGGCCTGAAACATGGGGCCATGGAGTGGGCTTCCTCGCCCCTCACTCTACCCATGCCTGGTCGCACTCCCGTCACAGGGTGACCTGCAACCCAGAGGACCTACTGCTCTGCTCCCACTGTGACCCACAGCCCTCTCTGCAGCCATAGCAGAGCAGGGTCCTGGTCCCCAGCCCTCTGAGACAACTGCTATATGATCTCTAACACCTGGCCGGGGCCACCCCCAGCTGTTGTGGTCCTCACAGCACAGGCCCTATGAGGGGAGGGGGGAAGGGGGAGAAAGGAGGGGAGGGGAGCGGGGAGAGAAACGGTGCTCACATCATGGCCCCAATACCTGGAACCTGGCCAGGGACCGTCTACCGAATGCACCAAGGAGACCGTGTCTTAAAACAAGGTTGTAGAGAGCCCAGGAGGAGCCAGGCAGCCTGCCCGTCCCCTGGCTGCCCCTGAGCAGGGAGTGATGAGCCATCCATGTCTTCCCCTGCTGCCCTGGATGGCATTAATCCAGGGAGGAGTCAACAAGGCCTTGGCGTCCCCCCGTGAGTGCCCACCTTGTGTGCTGTCTCTTCTTCGTTGTCTATCCCGGCTCCGCCCACGTCACTGAGGACGGGGCTCAGGAGGGGGGGCGAGCCCCGCTCACCTGGGCTCAGAGTCACCTGCAACGCAGAGTTCAAGCTCAGCGGGCTCTTCCACGTGGAGGGAGAAGGCTGAGGTGGCTCTGTGGAAAGGCCTGGAATTGGAATGGGGGGTGGAGACATGAGAGGCTGAGGTTGGCCGAGGACCACCACCACACGCTGACCCAGTTAGACTGTTAGGCAGACTTACGTTGCCTTGGGCGTTCCCAGGAAAGGGACATCCAAAGCCTGAGTCATATGCCGTTTCACACAGACACAGATGAAACACTAAAGGTCCCTGGGGGATAAATCTGACCTCACAGAGGCCACGGAGGCTGTCTGGGCTCCCTGGGACCCTGTGGGGGCTTGGATAGCCCTCGGGTGCTGAGGGGCTTCTCTGCTCTGGTATAAACCTCAGGCCCGGAGACCGGTACAGCAGACCCATTGCTGGGGAAGGGGCGCTTCCTGTGGCTTCAGACAAAACAGCTGATGTCACGGACAGGCATGAAAAAAGCCAGTTGTACCGCAAACTTGTTAAAAATAGCTGGGCTTCAAAGCTGCTCCTTCAGGGGCTGTTCTTACTGGGTTTATTTTTTAAATGCAAGTTCACTTACAAGGACTTCCCTTTGCTTTTCTAGAGTTATCCCACCAAAGTGACTAGTAATTTTTTTCCATCTGTGGCCTACTCCGGCGCAGCTGCTGAGCCGAGCCCAGCCCAGCCCCCGCCTCCCAGTAGGGAGCGCTACGATCTTCTGTTAGGGGTTTTCACTGTCACACGTTTATGTCTAATGTTTGTCTATGGAAAATCAGTAACTACCACATGTCACATTTTAAAGATACCTGCAACGTCTTATAGGAGACACGCAGGAGATATGCATCCCATCTGAAAACGACTTAGCGGGAAGGACCTGAATTTCCAGCACACAGCGTTCTAACAAGGCCCCCTGCCATTTCTGATTGCTTCCGAGGCTCACAACACGCCGGGGTCAGGTGCCCTCTGGCTGCTCTGAGAGAACCTGAGTAGGGCTCTCTTGATGGCTGTGGGGAGGCCCCAGTGCAGCTGCCTGCAGAAAGCATGTGTGTGCAGATGGGCTGGCGCAGGGCAGTGTGTTGGTGGGTGACATCACGGCTCACTGCTGCCCACTGGACTGGCCTGGCCCCCCCCGAGCTGGTCAGGGCGGCAGTGCAGTGGGCAGAGGGGGCTCTTTATTTTCACATTGACAAACCCTGAGATCTGAGAGACCACCCCCGTGAGGGCTGCCAGGATCCATGCTCTTGTGACGAGTGTGATGGCTCCTCAGACAGCTTGTATAGTGGAGGTTCCTTGGAATTTTCCATGACGAGACTTCAGGTTTGAGACCTGGGCAGACACTCATTGCCTGGGAACCCGCAGCCCCGTAACTGCATGATGCCTGAGAAGCAGCACGGATTAGAGCTTGCTCTTATTACAGTTAGTTCAGATAGGCCAGGCCCTCAGTCGCACACGCATTCTATCAAGCCTTGTGGGGTTCTGGGCCACCCTGGAGGGCAGCTGACTCCACGTCTGAGAAGGGGTGTGTCCAAAGCCGAGCCACCAGGATCTGGTCTTCTCCCCGTCTCTAAGCGTTCAGAAATGCAGAAAGTGACATCTGCCCAAAATGGAACTTCAAAGCAAAGTCTGGAAGCCTCCACCACACTTTCCGATACTTCCCAATCACGCGGTCTCAGGGGTTACAGCCAAGCTGCCTTACGTGGACTACAGTAAGGACAACAGGTTGAGGCTCCCTGTGACTCCCTGGCCTCCCAACAGTGCCTGCCTCACCACCAGGGGCAACACAGACCTGACCAGGGTCTGGAGCAGGTGGCATCACCATTTGGCATCTTGGGAGGTGCTCAGTAATCTTGTCTGGTCAGCAAAAAAGGACACAGCCAGTGTGGAGAGAGCAGGGCCATGGCATGGGCTAACTACCCCTTTTAAGTAATAACCAGAGACCAGGGTGCGGATGGGAACGTGGGGACCCAGGGTGCGGATGGGGTCGCATTTGGCTGTTAACGGAAAGGCTGGAGATTCAAGTGTGCTTAGAGGCACCTTGGCAGAAAGGTGCTCAAAGCATCCAGTGAAAACCCCAGGGGCACACCTCTCCTGTGGCCCCAAGGGCTGCCTCGCATCAGGCTGTCATCGGCAGCGGGTTTAATAACTTGCTCCAAAGAGGATCACCCTTCAGCTCGGCCTGCCCACTTTGGAACTGACCATTGTGGGGTGTGCAGGTTAGAAGGAGTCCTTTGGTATTACTGTTGTATATTACCTAGTATTGTGCAAAATCTGCCAATGCACAATCAGTGCCTAGACCCAGAACTACCAGAACCTGCCACTAGACACTTCCCTTCTTTAAATCTGTCAGCTCTAGTCACCCTCCAGAAATCACACCTGCTTTCAGTTACACAGACACAGGTCCCAGAGGGACTAACCTGTAGGGAATCTTTTCAGACCAGTAACAGTAAGCACAGCCGTCATAAATGCGGGCCCCCAGGTCCCTCCATCTGTCCATGGCCTGTGTCACGTGGCCAGTATCTTATCCTGGACAGCGGTCAGGACAGGCTGCGAGTGCCTTCATGCTTCCCAAAGGAGGCAGTCTGCACCTGACAGTGCTGAAGGGTAGATGTTACCTTCAGAGGGAGCTACACTTAGCTGTATTTCGCACCTTTAAACCTCTTCATGAAAACTCGCTCTACAGAAATACCTGCAGAGATACTCAATGGCTCTGTGGTAAAATTCAAGACCAAAGCTGAAGTTTAACCTGGGAGTGGAAGTGAAAGGTCAGCCATCATTAATTCCACAGAAAAGGAAAAAAGCCAAAACCCAAAAACCTGTTGCCATCAAGTGGATTCTGACCCTAAAGTACAGAGGGGAACTGCCCCATAGGGTTTCCAAGGCTGTCAGTCTTCACGGAAACAGAATGTCTCATCTTTTTCCCCCAGAGTGGCTGGTGGGTTTTAACCACTGACCTTTCAATTAGCAGCTGAGTCCTTAACCACTGTGCCACCAGGGCTCCTTGGGAAAAAGGCAGAGTTGTCCAAAGAACTCAGCAAATGTGAGCTTGATGGGCTGCACACACTGTCACGGGCGTTGCCTCTGGGCTAAGAGGGCACAAAATCTGGATGAAACATACAAGTGGATGTAGAATAGTGGTTCCTAAGGAGGGCTCTAGACTTGCTGCACTTCTTACGTGTCTTCCCATGGAGGTGAGTGTGGCCTACCCTTCCTTAGGGCTGGCCTGGCTCACACGCTACCCCACGCTGTCAGCCACTACCTGCCGGGCAGTGACTGTCACACACTGTGTCACACAGTGCTCCCATAGGCTGCATATCAGTCTTTCCATCTGTTCCGCTCTAAATAAACAAGACCATTTCCTCATTAAGAACAAGCCGGCCTGGACCCTGCATTGCACTCTGGTCTACCTGTCCAAATGAGCCTTCTGCCTGGAGTGTATGATCCCATGCCTGTAGCACTGGTGTGCACCCACACACTGTGGGGTCACGACACACTACGCGGCAATGCCCAACACGCCAGCACGCCACACTACAGGGCCCCACAGCAGTGCCCGACACTCCTGTTTTGTCTACACTCAGCCCGACTTCCAAGTCTCCAGAAATACTGCAGTGACAGAGCGCACAAACAGACGATGAGGCTGAGCATGGGTGGGAGGTGGCACGCAGCAGGTAAGAGGCTGCCTAAGGCAGCTGCAGAAATACCAGGGCCCTGAGACTCCTAACCAGGCCTAAGAGATGCTTCAAAGCAGTCTCTTCAGATGGAGATTAGCCACCAAGCACCTCCTCAACCAGGGTCCACTCGCTCCTGTCCTCTGTCCGTCCCCACTTGGGCTTCTGGTGAGAACAGGGTGTTTGCTTCCCAGCCCTGCTGGCTGGCTGTTGTGCTCCGGGAGGAAGCCCCGTGGCTCCTCTCACATGGACCGTGCTTGAGACCCTGTGCCCAGGCACCATGCCCGAAGCACCTGCAGCTCTCCCAGCACCCTGGGCAGACAACGAACCCGTTCACAGCCGGCCACTGCTGCCAATGAGGCTGAGGGGCCTGGTGGTGGGCAGCATCCGAGCACCACCCCTGGTGGGCACGGTTCCAGGGCTGTCAGCAGGGCTGCAGAAGGGCGGCAAGCTTAGCTGGCAATGGTGGGACTCAAGTTCAATGCTGAATAAAGCCCGAGAACATGGTCTAGACTTTGACCAGCCTCTTAACCACACTCCACGGCATTCACAGCGTGGCTCCCAATCAGTAGGGCAACCACAGGCCATCCTTTCCTCACTCAGAATCAAGCCCAGAGCCACGTGTCCTGTGTGCAGTTGGAACACAGTACCAAAGTCTGCATCCCCGAGGAAGCAAGGCTGCCACACCTAGCCACAGGCCACAGGCCACAGAGGCCACAGCGGGCTGGCCAGGAGAGCACAGTGCCTGCCCACTGGCCTCCACAGACCTGTCCACAGCAGTGCAAGAACACGGCTCAGGGCCAGAGGGTCTCCTGGCAGCTGGGACCCAGGAAGGAACAGGAATGGCAGCGAGGATACGGGAAAGCTTGTTTGGTGGGCGATAGGATCTCTAACTGTTTCATTGAAAACCATAAACAAGTAGAGGGAAAGAAGGCTAAAAAGCCCGTTTCGTGATTCATAGTAAATAGTTCCTTATTTTATTGAATAAACAATTAAAAAATTTTGAATGAGTACATCTCCTCGGACTTAAAAATGGTCATTTCAACAATAATGCATTTTACAAGTACCACAAACCAGACAAGGAAAGCACCCCTCAGAAGGAATGGGTTCGAGACAGAGCCCCTGCCCACACCTCCTGGCTGTGCAGACGCCATCCGGCATGCTAAGGAGGAATGCCGGCAGGGCTGCTGGCCAGGACACCACCCCACACCACCCCAAGCTGCATCTGTGCATGCGGCCCAGAGCACACACGCGACGTCAAGGACAAATGCTCAGGGGGCAGGGGCACAGGAAAGCAGGGCCATACACGAAGAACCCAGGCTGGAGCTGAGGTGTAAGCCCAGACAGGGGGGGCAGCGGCTGCTCCGGGATGGGTTTTGGTTCCATGTTCTAGGGGCGCAAGGGAGTGAGAGTCTAC